AGACACCACTGGAAAGAGCATGCGCCAGTGCAGCCAGACTGGAAAACTGCTAGGTGGTAAGTAGCAAAGCCACAGCACACATGCCGCGTAGCCGGGAACCCCACCTCCTGGGCCAGACCTAACAGATATGATATATATGTGTACCAGAAGACATGTGTGAGAATGCTCGTCATATTTCCAAACAAGAAACACCCCAAATGTCCATCAACAGTAGAAGAGATGAAGTTTGGTATAACCATGTAATAATCTACAATTCATCCATGAGAAAGAATGACTTGGCTGCCCACAGAAACATATACAATGTGGGAAAGAAAGAAGTGCATTCTGTGTGATTCTATTTATACAAAGCTCAATGACAGAACTCACAACTGTGTACCCTTTGGGGGGTGGGTGTAATGACTGGACTCCAGTGGCCTTCTGGGGTTCAGTTGTTTGACATGGGTGCAAACACACGGTGTGTTCATTTTGTGAGAAGTCAGTGAGCTCTGCACTTGTGATCTAGTCACTTTCTCATATGTTGTCACACTTTAATATAACCATTTTAACTGTATAAAAGGAGGAAGTCTGAGACTTCCATTTAGCAATATAACAAAACAGAACATCTGAACATCAGCTCATTACACAGCAGCAAGAGTGCTGACTAACACATGACCAACAGTTTCTGTAAACGTACAAGTGGACTCTCCAGAAAGCAAGGGGGGTCCCAGGGACCAACACTGCTTTCTCTACCCTGGGATTAGTTGGGGGGTGTCAACTGAGGAACAATAAAAGCTGCCAGGCCTGGGGTCCTCCTGGGGTTTAGAGCTATAATAGAAACCCTGTAGAAGGGTAGAAACCTTGAAGGGTTAATTCTGGGTGTAAGGGTGGCTAAAAGAGACAAAAATCCAACCTTGGGTAAAGTAAAACCAAAGGGTTGTTTGTCTTACTTTGGGCTCTATCTGAAAAACATGCCAGCAATAAAGAACCTTTCCTAGAAATGTGTGACCACAGGCCTGACTTCAGTGGAGCTGGGGGGCACACTTATACTTCCTGTTTATTCCAGGTAATGGACGTAGCAAGAGTCATCGGGGGACACACCCAGGTTTGTCTTCACTTTCACAGAGAAACAGTGAGCAGCAGAGAAGCTGGAACCAAAAGGATTCATGTCCCTCCATTTCAAGATTTCTCTGGGTCTGATTTTATATCAGCAATACTTTCAAATGAAGAATTTGCCTTAGAGGGAGACATCTGCACTTCATAATTAAAAAAGAACATTACACCCTTAAGCCTTAGGTAGCCTCTACAGAACAAGTCTTTTTAAAAACTGTTTTTGACTTGACATTTAATTTCGGAGACTCCTGGAACATTTACATGGTCCCTCTCTCTCAAGGAGCTGTTCACTTGCAGCACAGATGAAAGTCAGAGGCAAAAGAACGCATGGATGTGAGTGCGTGACATTCAACTCTCACTTTCCTTCACCAGTGCTTTCAGCTGGTCCCTTGTACAACACGACTGCAAGATCCTTTCCCGTTCTGACTCACAAAGTCAAGTAAACTGCACAGAGTGGTAATGAGCAGTTGATGAAATTTAGGTTATTGCAAAGGAAGTGCTCAGGGACAAAAGACTAAACAGAAGTCTAGGAAGTGAAGCGACGTGATCAGTTATGAAGGGCATCTCAGATTCCGATATCTAGGGAGGGAGTGTGGGACCAGGCATCTGTGAGTGCCGGAGGCAATGACAAAGTCATGGAGGAGGCAGTACTTACATAACACACATTTCCAAAGTTGAGAGTGACAATGAACCTGAGCTAGTTAGGAGGGACTGGCTGATGCCACCACTGCCTGTCACAGTGATTCTAGTTAGGGACAGGCTTTCTTGATGTTTATTTGACCAAATGATGGTGAATAACGAGTCTGTTGAATTTGTAATCAAGCTTTCCCTCAGCTGATATAATACGGTGTGTCTCTACATGGATCATCCACGTGACTGCGTTTAGCTTTCAAACATTCTTGAAATTTGGGGTATGGATTTATCCCATTGAGATAAGATTAAACACTAACATAAAATGGTTTCTTCACTTCCACCAGGTTATTTTCACATCATGAAATAATTAAAACTTAGTTAAATATGCCATAAAATGAACAGACAAAAAACCAGGGATGCTACGGGAAGCTGGCGTGCTTTTCCCATAGCAGCTACTGAGCTGCCCTTGCTAAGCCTGTCGGTAGCCCTATAGCTGCTTCAGACAAACTCATGACAAACAGCAAAAAAACAAATCTAGGATTAATCAGTAGTTTTTAGCAGCTAGACACATTTTATAGTTATCATCTAAGAATACTGATGCTATTTTCATTGTTTAAAAACTCTGGAGAAAACCCAGAAGGAAGGATAAATGGCTGGTGGGCAGCGGGCCGGTCAGGAAGTCTGCACTCCTTACCTGATGTTCAAGTTCCCACAAACATAACCTGGCTCCCCTATTGGTTCCCACCTTCTCTGATATAAACTGGTTGCTACACCCAGTTCAGGCCTCTCCCCATCCACCAAGCACATTCAGGGAATCCTGTCCCCACATCTTCGCTCTGCGTGACTTCCGGGACATGTGTCCTCCTCCACCTTCCGCCTCCCCTGCCCACTTGGAGGGCTGTTGCCCTCTCCCCTCAGCCCACAAAGCAGATCTTCCTTTAAACTCCCACAGCATTTAATTGGGCACTTGCCTTTGTCCTGCTATTTTTTGACATTTGATATATTCTGATCTTATCTCCCCAGCTAAGCTGCACGCTCCTTGAAAGAAGAAACCTGATTCCTATTTTTCACTGCATAATCCCCAGAAGGGCCTGTGTTCTACACCACAAACCTCAAGGCAGCATTTTCCATTTATCCCTATAAATTTAAGGACAAGAAGATAAAAGTAGGAGAGGAAAAAGGAGAAATTGCATAAATGATACTTTGGGGTATCTATACTTTGGAAGGATAGATTTTGACCTCAAAAGAAACTATAAAGATAGACCTTCCCCAGTCACCTTCTTTTTCCTCCACGACCAGGATACACGTGTACACCATCAGACGGGGCCTGGGCCTCGGGAACTGCGGCCCAAAGCCTGAGAGAGCCCCAGTCCACGGTGCCTCCTTTCCTTCTCAGCTTCCCTTCGAGGCAATGCTGAGAGGAGCATCGTCACACTTCCCGCACAGCAGCTCTGCCTGGAACAGCTAACCTGTCAGCTTCGTCCCGACGGGAACCAGCCCAAAAGTTATTTTCTACACAAGCAAATCACCCTATGTTAGTTCAGAGTCACTGGTGGTTCTCAAATGTGACTCCCTATGAGAACCATGGGGGAACTTTGGAAATTCCTTATGCTCAGCCACACCCCACACCATTTAAACATGAGTCCCTGGGAATGACCCAGGCATCAGCATTTTTAAAATTTTACTGCCCAATTTGAATGTGTTGCCAAGTTTGAGAAGCAGCAGCCTACCCAAGATGATGTTCATTCTGCGGTGCAATGTTAGAGAACATGAGCAAGTGGCAGCAGAAGGCAACGCAGGCGGGACTCATCTCCGACTCCCAGGGTGGCTGCGTAGCTAGCTTATGATTAAGCTGGTCTTCAGTGTCTCCATAGTTTTCTCTTCCCTGTGCTCTTTCCCTTTAGCATCTCTACCTCAGTGTAAACAAGTGGCATCCAGAGATGGCAATACTGCATTACACTCTTATAAGCGGGGAGAGGAGCTCCCAGAGCTTCTTGCCCCTGCTGTTCATGAGAATTACATGGGATACACAAGCGCACTGTGCAGAGATGCTGGCTCAATTTGTGTAGAGCTGTGGTTCTTAACGTGTGGTCTTGAGCCCAGCTTCTCCTGCATCACCTGGGCACTCCCCAGAAATAGTTTCTCAGGCCCCATCTCTTACTTCCTGAATTAGAAGCTCAGAAGGAGGGAGGGCAAGGGTAGAGGGAGAAATCTGTATTTTAAGAAGCGCTCCAGGAAATGATGATCATGCTGAAGTGTGAGAACCACTGGTGTAGGCAGGGTACAGGTTCCCACGATTTTGAAAAGACCCACAGGAGTTACTACTACTGGGTAGTCCAGGTGAGGACTCCTGGATCCAACAGTACCGGCTTAGGTGGCTGACACTGTCTCTTCACTGCAGTTTCCAGCTCTCCCAGGGCCCACTGCTTTGTAAGAGCGCCTTTCACTGGGGTCTGTATGATAACTCTTGCATCATGTTAAAAAATAGTAGATTCGGTGTGGACATGTTCAGTCATTTTAACAACTGAATTAGATCAGCAATGAAGCCCATACAACTACTGGCTCAAACCTTTGTTAATAAAATGCCCCGACCCCATCATCTCCCATCCCACAAACTGACTTTATTCCAAAACTAAACTCGCCAATCAACAGTGACTTGGCAGCCAAATATAACCACCTTTTTAATTCACTCAAATAAAAGAAGTAGGACTATGAAACATCTACTTGATTTTGAAATGGGCCTTTGGGTCAAAATGTCATGCTTCATTTGTGCATCCATCTCATCCTTCAAAGAGAATTTCACAGGTCAGGGTTTTCATTCGTGCAATGATGACATTTAGAATTCTGGCTTTCATGCAGTCTCAGGGTGGAAGCCTCTAGCAAGATATGTAAGAAATGGAGTCTTTATATGAACATCGATTCATATTTTACAAAAGGAAGTTACTGTGCAAGACTAATACTTCAAAGAGTAGGCAGAGAGGATTATAGGCCGGTTGTTCTCTTCATGTCCTGCATGTGACCGGGCCTGGGGGTGAGTATCACTCACTGTTTCTGGAGCTTCATGAGAAAGGGGGGAATCCTGTGGATCTGTTTAGGACTCTGAGTATCTTCAATGATAAGTTACAGGTGTGCTATGAGCAACCTACTATACTAATAGCCTTAGACAAGAGAAGCAACTGAGACCATAAGCATGCTTCTTTCTACACAGCATCAAGGAAAACAGGTCCCTGCACTCATGACCAGCTCTGGGGACCCCAGTCCACCTCCTGAGAATTTACCTCGAGGGCAGTAGATGTCTGGAGCCCATCGGTTGCACTCATAATTGTCTGCTGCCTTTTCACAGGTGAAACACTTAAATCCACCAGGATATGGTGTGGCTACAAAAAAAGACCAAGAAGAAAGATTAATTTTTAAAACTGAGTATAAAACCCTGCATTGTGAAGTTAGACATTGTAAAATTTTTAAAAGGATTCTCAAAACAGCCTGCTAGTGCTTTTAATAAGTAAACATGCAAGTACCAGATGACTCAGCAACTGCATTCCTGGTTCATCTCTGAGAAACTGAAACTTGTATTCACACAGAACTTTGTACACAAATATTCACAGCAACTTTATTTGTAGCAGACAAAAACTGGATTCAGCCCAGACGCCCTTCGATTGGTGAAGGCGAGCAAACCACAGTACATCCAGACCAGGGGCTACCAGTCAGCACTAAAAATGAAATATCAATACATTCAACAACTTGGATGAATTTCCAGGGAATTATGCTGAGTGAAAAAAGTCAATTCCAAAAGCTTACATATTCTATGTGATATTTACTACATGCAACATTTTTTAAATGAGAAATTTGAGAAATGGAAGGAAGATGGCCAGGGCAGGGGCGGGAGCAGGGGGGGCAGGTTCAGAGGGAGCGCGCAGTGAGGCCAGTGGGAGGAATCCTTGTGCTGCTGAAGCTGTTCAGTGTCTTGATTTGGTTGTAAATACACAAGCCTGCATATGCGGTAAAACTGCGTAGAACTCAACACACACACATGCACACAGATGACTCTGAGTAAAACTGGAGACGTCTGGATAAAACCAGTCAGTGACCTGGTTGTGATATCAGTCCACAGTTTTTCAAAATGTTCCCATTGTGGGTAACTGGGTAAAGTGTACAAGGAATCTTTCCATATTATTTTTTATGACTGCTTATGAATCTACAATTATCTCAATAAAATTTTCAATTAAAAAAAAGCACTCTGAATTTCCAATTAGTTTTATGTGTCAACTTGTATAAACAGATCAACATGTAAATACAAATATTAGATTCAGTCATAAAATACTTCCTGGTATTTCAGCATTTTGTACCAACAAAGGTGGCAATTTCCTTACTTCAATCTACATTTTTATGTTCTTGGACCTAACATGGTTAAGAATCCCTACAGGTGGTAAGAAAAAAAAAAGTGTCCATTGCTAAAATACACACTGCCTGTGCAGGGTGATCCTCCTAAGGGCCCTCTCAGGCCCATGTCCAACATCCACGGGACAGCACACTGGGGACAGCCCTCTGGGGGCATCTGGACACACGGATGTGCTATAGCTCCAGCCCCTCCTCTCCTCGCCCGAGTTGCCTCTCTCCCTGTCTTCTGGTACTGGTATTCTCTGTCCTCCTTGTATTGATTCTCTCCCTCACATTTGTGTTCAGGCAGGGAAGGGTCCCAGACGTTCAGGCCCCATGCAATGCCAGCACACGGGGCCTCGTTAGCATTTAAGGACGAGAATCTACAAGGACTATCTGGCCAGGTTATCTCTGTCCGAACTACTGATGAGCTTTGACTTGCTGCTTATTTCTAATCATTTGCTTGCTTTGCTGCTTAGAGTTTTGCCTTTCATAAACAGGACATGTGAATGTGTGTGTGTTTAATTTGTAAAACTACCTGGCCTCTTTGAAAGCTGCACTCAAACACTTCATCTGCAGAAGCCAACTGTTCTCTCTTGCAGATGGCTGAGCCTGCATATCACACTGGCGGAAATAATCATCTCAGGGTAAATTGCTTTGCCCACATGGAACCAATTAAGTATGTTATCAAAAATAAATGAAGGAAGAGGCAGCAGCTTAAGGCCAGAATTATGGGCCAGATATAACTTTGATTTTCACCTTGCCTAGAATAGCTGCCCATCTTTGCACTCGCTTGCAATAGTTCACAGAGCTGACTCTGAAAATAGCAAGACCAAAAGTTATTAACTGTCTTTTAAAAAAGGCAGGTAGCTGGACCTTTTTATGGGCCCGTGTGAGAGTTCCATGTTCCTCCAAGTAATCAATAACTCAAATCCATAAACAGAATGAGAATGAGTACACGGATCGTCTTAGACAAGGAGGAGAAAAAAGCAACTTAGACATCCTAATTCCATTCCACTTTATTCCCAATGAAAAAATTTCACGAGGAGGGAACATCTTCTCCCTCTGTATAACTATATGCTACAGAAGTAAACTATTTTATAAAACTACACACAAATAATCTTTATATCTCCACAACCCACTACCTAGAGAGGTGGGTTAATTTAAGTTGAAGGAGTCTAGTTTGTAAATTTTGAAGTAGAATTACTGGAGTAGGAGTTTTAAAAAACAGATGCAAACTATTTATTAAAGAAGAGCATTTGTCAAAAAATGATAATATACACCAAGGTTCATGTCTACAAGCTACTCACAGCATGTCAGCTTGCATGATTAATTCACTAGAGTATCCAATTTTATCTGTCTGTCACCGAAGCCAGTAAAACTTTTAGCTGGAATGTTGGGTTAATTATTCCTGAGAACTTTCCCATCAAAGAAATAAATTAAGAACTTTGAATGAAGATTGACAGTCCAGCCATTCCACAAATAAATGTTCTGAGAACCTGGCACTAATGAATGATAGTGTTTTCAAATTTGGATTATTTAATAGACTCTTCAAAATTATCCTTTGCAATACTAGTGACACATTAAATTAAATACTCTCATTTCTTACACAAGTAGGGATAAACTCTGAAATTAACTCAAAGTTTATCAAAATTTAGTTTGTAAAACTAAAACACTAAGGTAGCATAATGGAGCCTTGTTTCAAATCATTTTACCTCTGAATGGGTTTATCGGCACATATCACCAACAATTAAGCAAATGATCTCATTCTCAGTGAGTTTTATTTTTAAATCTGCAACTTCATATCTGTGTGTATTCTCAACAATGACATCCTAATATCTGCTTACAGGAACTTGAACTTACATCCTGGCAGACAGTACTGACCAGTGAATAACGAAACCCTTTTCAGTGACAAATCTCTGCAGACAGACTCAGCTTTAAGTCGATAATTATAGCACAATACCAAGTAATGGTTAAATTCTTCCCTCTGGAAATATTTAGCCAAAAATAAGGTCTACAATGGAACAACTATCTCCAGTAACTTGTTAATTGATACTGCATCTGATAAGTTTCTTTTTTAAAGGACTGGAAAGAGATTTCTAAGAGATGTTCTATTTTTCCTTTGTGACTTCAAAGCATTAGGGAGCAAGCAGAGCTCCACACTGTTGTGGCCTCAGCTGTGAATGAATCTAATTTGGCTCTTGATCACAGAGTTAATAAGCTTAGGACTCTGTATTTCAGGGCGTAAGTCCTTGGTCCCTCAAGAGAAGGTGACTGTAAAGAAAAAAAAAAAAAGAAATGCCAAAGTGCCCAGTTACTTCCTGTAATACAACCTGCCCATTAACTCTCATGGTCAGCCAGCGCTCGGCCGACCATAATTCATTCGCAAGGCATCAGAAAGGATTTTGTCTTCGTTTCCATCTCGTGGAACTTATGCCTGGACAAGGGCCTTTAGTTATCAAAAATGTAGTGAGAAGAGAATCTTGTTTTTAAATGTATGCTTCTGGGTAATGCAATCAACATTTTTTTTTTATCCTTGCCAAATCTAATTTCCATTGTTTCTGGAAACTGCATGCAAACACAAATTTTTTAGAAATCTAATAAATTGACCTACCTCTCAGACCACTTGGCTACAAAATGTTGCCAGTGTAATTTTAATACTGTGGACATGTTCGTAATAGAAATGTATTTCCTGCTACCTTTCTAGAAAGTCCCCCTACTCCCTAAAATGTATGCAGTGTGTCCAGATGATGAAAACATTGTGTTGGTACTCTAGGCACAAGCCAGCGCCCCCAGGGACACAGTGCTCTGGTCTGCAGGAAGGACTCAGAATATGCAACCAGAGGACAAGCTCAGGAAAGATTTATGTTGTGAGGAAAGAAATGGAGGCCAAGAACAGATTGAAGTCATATCACATCTAACCACCAAGTAAGAAGCTCCGTTTCTCTTAACACTAACTCCTGTTTAAAGGATTTATTAGGCTTTAGTACTTTACTCATGGGCTGGGAAAAAATTCATCATTTATCACATAAAAACCCCACAGATTATTGAAAAGGATGTTATTGAGGACAGTGTCTCAAGTGTGAAAGCGATGTTTATTTCTTTCAAGGGCGTAGAGACTTCAAAGATTCAGGAATTAGAGAGCAAAGGAGATTGGTCATGGGAGGCTGAGCTTTCCCAACCGGGGTTCCAGTCTCGCCCCACTTAGCACCTCTGAGGGCTGCTGGGGCCCAGCAGAACCGAGTTTGCTTGTCTGGTGCGGAAAACCTGTATGTCTTCTCACATCTCCAGCATTGCCGCAATTTCTCCCTGGGCAGGTTCCCAGCTGCATCTAACATCCAGGGAATCTGGCTCGCTCGCTGACCCCAAGAAAGCTGTTTGTGCCTTCATCTACATACAGAGACAATTATATTAATAATTCAAGATAGAAATATTGTAAGCCCACACTTCCCTCATATATTTTTTATAGTCTATTCTATAGAAGCCTGCTCATTTGTAGAGATTGCTCCATCTAAACATGGTCTAGTAGGTGCTGCTCAGGGCAGAGGACCACGACCATTTAAAACATCAGTGTTAAAAACAAACGAATAAACACCAGAAACTTCTGAAATAGAGCACAGAAATGTGAAGTTAACTCTGCTTTAAAGTGGGCAGAGTAAACAAAATTCTAGCCATGTAGGACCTATTGATGGTAACTTCAACCCAGCAAGAACTTTGAGTCTCCTGACCAGTTCCAGAGGCTCCAAACTAGAGCTTAGCCCAGACCTGCCAGTGAATGGTTTATGTACCATCTAGCTTAGGAACGGCTTCTTCCATCCATCTCCACGTTTCAAAATCCTATCAGAAAACCCCACCGATTCTTTCTATAGGGGGAATTCCTTTTAATTAAACTATGGCTCTATTTAATTGACATAGGTCAGATGAGTAGAACTCACCTTCAAAGATCTCATTCTGAAATCGACTTTCTGAATAGGGGCCACTGATCTGGGCATAGACCCACCAAACTGGTGAGACAGAAGCAGTGTGCGTATGTCTTTGTTTTACCGATGTTCCCTGAATTCCAGTCCCATCAGTTTTCCTTCTCACCCTGTGTACAACACGGCCTCAGAGAAAGCCAGGCGTCGACCTATTCTGTGGCCCAGTGACTTCTGAGTCTGTCACTGAAGTAGACAAAGAGGTCGCCAGAAGTTGAAATACCTGTCAATCAGACCTTGGAGACTGAAATCTAGATGTTGTTCACCAAGTCCAAAAAAAAAAAGCACAGATGTTGGGAGAGAAAAAACAAAATGCAATCCTAGAAAACAGAGCAAGTATCAAAATACCTTCTTTTCATGAATTTTACTAAAATAAACTACCCTGAAAAACAGGCAGCCAGATAAGCTTCCAATATAATTCACCAGCAGGTACTGGACTGTACTGGTGAGAGACTACAGCAATAAATCTAAAGAAACTCTTTGCTGTTTGTCAAAAGCATATTTGGTAATTAAAAATAAGATTAAAGTATTTTCAGCATCCTTGGTTTACCATCTAAGCCAATAACAACAACAGCGTAATTATTTTACCCACGTTAGAAATAGGAAATTAACATTTTAAAAGATTCCCCTAATATTTATCGAGCATTTACTATGGCTCACATTTAGTGCTAAGTGCTTTGTATGCATTCTTTGAATTAATCTTCCCAGAGTCAGGACATGTCTTTCCAGTCAGGAGGCTATACCGCAGCTGAACTAGCTGCTGGTCCAGATGGGACTGACCCTGTGAATTTCCCCGCCCGCCTCTCATCTAAACCAGACCATGAAGAAATTAGTCTAACTGCATGATGTTAAAGGAGTCCTCCACCTTACAGTTTCTAAGATCCTCAAGAGCAAGGACTAGGTTTTATTTGCACTTATGTCTTTCATGCCTATCACAATGCCAACACACAGGATATGCAAAAAATGTTGATGGAACAGAATATTTCAAAAAAGTAATGAACTCAGGACCAATGCTAAAGGTCAGAACACACACAATATACGCAGCTCTCACCACCACAGGGCCAATCCAGAAGAAGATCCAAACAAAACTAAGATCAGGATGAATAAATACAGAGATGGAAGCGAAAGAGGAAGCAAAAGGGCTGTGTGATTCAAGTGTGATCCTTAGAACATCAGCAGAAGCACCTGACATTCTTGCTAAAAGTCAGAAACCACAGGTACAGCCCCAGCCAGCTATGCTACCAGACACTCAGGCAAAAGGGTTGTCATGCACGTGCATTATTATGCTCTCTCCAGGTAATTCTTAAACACAGGAAACCAAAAGGGTTAGGGAACAGGAAATCGTGGAAGATAAGTATGCTGAACGTGAAAATGATACACACAGACAGGAAGACCAAGCTATTGTCTTCCCTATAAAGGACTGATCTTGCACAAACACATTCCTTTTGGGACTTGGAGGGTCACTTTGACAACTGACCGAGGCTGGCATGCATCAAAGGGAATGGGTTCAGAATCAGAGTGATGGTGCAGGTGACATGGAGAACAAGCGTAATAATTTACCTGAAAACCAAAAACACACACCCTATACAAGAGTGACAGTAAAATATAAGCCATGTTTGGTGGCACCTGTACCCCCCAATTAAATCATCAGAGGTTTTTCCTGCACTGAACACTGCCTTCTCCTGTCCACTTTCAACTCATGTTTTACTTTAAGTCAGGTGACATTTCTACAGCAAAGAGAACAGAGTCTTACTTGAAGGGTGGAGGTAGATAATGTCTTTCACTGTGAAGTCTCGGGACTGGGCAGCTTTCAGACAATCAGCCAGCAGGCTCAGGAGCAGGAGCCAGGCCAGGGCAGGGCCAGGGTCCATGGCAGACCGAGGCGTCACTCATGCAGGGCGCCCCGGAGCGAGGACTGGGGACGGATGACAGGAGGGAACTCGCACCTGAAACATGAAGCAAGATTCATCTCAGTGTCCAGCTCAAAAAAGCCATGGGAGACTTGGCCGAGGTCCCGTGTTGTAGGGATAGCACAAGGAGGGCTGTGAGCCGAGGGCACGAGGAAGTGAGTAGACATGGAGAGAAATGGTAATTTTAGAGCACTTAGAAAATTCCAGCCTGAATCTCTTCTGAATTGGGTCCCTAAAGTTCCATTGGTAGCAGTCCCCTCTAATACCCGGCAGAGATGGTATCAAGAGAGATTGAATTTTAATGAAATCCAGCTATTTTTGCCAGGAGGCCGGGGGATGGCTGCCAGAATGCAACAATAAGTAAGTCAGGTACGAAGCTCAGAAGCATTTTCTCGATACTGGTGAAGGCCAGGTATGAGAGCGCAGCCTCGCTGGGTCATGCTGCCCGTGTTGGGAGACACGGGCCTCCTCCAAACCAAAAAGTGCCTTTCTAGCTCAAAATCTCCGTCATGTAAGTAAGTAACAGTGGCCAGACACTGTTGAAGTCATATATATATATAAATGTAAATATATTTGTATTTATAAATATAAACATTTGTGTTTTATATTTATTTGTAAATATAAATGTGTGTAAGTATAATATACAAATTTATATTTATACATATGACTTTATATATACATATATATATATATGAAATCATCTATAAATAAATTATCATCCATTTGGAGGAATCAGAAGTCCAGCAAATAGAAGAGTTAATTCAGACCCAGACCAGTGAGACCATATTTTTCAACAGTCGATGAAAAATGTGTTCTTCCAACGATTGTTTTGTGGTGCATCAGTGGAAACTGATGAAATGAGATCAAGGTGACACCGTAGCACTAAGCAATCAGGGTTCTACCCTCTATTTTGATTCTGTCCTTTTCAATGAAAACTGGAGGCAGTAAAACCTTCTACTACGTTTGAATTGTCCAGCTTCCTTAGAACGTAGATACAAGTATACATCTTGTATCTGTGTCTCTTTGCCTTGCCAACTTCTTGCTTTCCTGTAGAGTCTCGTTCTGTTTTCCAAATACCATCATTCTATTGCCCATGCAAGGGTCAAGTGAATCACTTTATTTTTAACATGATGGGGAAAAAACCACGATTTGGACATTGTGTTTACAAATCTTGAACAAAGATTTTTGAAATAGCATAACAAGAAGCCTATATGATCTTATAGGTAACCAGTGTTACCTCAATCCATTTAATAAAATAAAGAAGAAATATAAAATAGCTAATAAAATTATTCTAAAATAATTTTGTCAAAATAAATAGACCAAGAGTAAAGGTATTACAAAACAAAATCAATAGAGAAAACCTAGATGAACTAATCAGTTATTAGAATATACTAAAAAGCAATATAAATCAAAGCACAGAAACAGACCCAACTATTTCCATAAGCAATTTTTCAAAACTACAGAAAAGAAAAATATTAAATAAAGAAAATTATTATAACTTGATTAAAAATTGTGAAAAAGATGAACTAAAACCAAACAATGGACAATATACTATAATTAACTGCAGATGAATTGGTGTGTTCATTTTTTTTAAATAGACAATTCGTCAGAAAATAGAGTAGAACTCTTACTACCCTGCAGCAGTTCGATGATGCCGGGCGGGCCAATTTCATGCTCACAGCCCATCCTCTGTTTACAATTTGGCTCCCCAGGCAAATGTACATTCGGGAAGAGAATGGGCTGCCCAACCCCTTAATAAATGGGAGTGCAGGGCACCATGCTAGGTATGTGGTTGAGCGATATGATGAGAAAGCAAACATCAATGATATCTTCCCTCACTGAGTGACACTACAAGCACTGTCTCCTCTCCAGTGAACACAGCGGTGCCTTGGCGCCCACCCGGGCTGGTTGGCGAGGCTGCTCCGGAGGAGCCCCTCCTCCCGCACAGCGCAGCACGGAGATTCCACTGCACATCAGCACCGCCCCCTCCCTGCAGCAGGGCTCCGTGCGAGTTTCATTTTAATATAATTTAACATTAAATATCAGCTAATTGTCAACCTAAATTCATTTTAATGTGGAAACTTGATGTCCACACCAGTGCTTCAATAACGGGGGGCCCCAAAACCCCTGGAGTGTATTGATTAAAAACTGTGTACTTATTCTTGCATGCTTCAACTTCATTCGCCTTCCAAGTCCTCTCCATTTGATGCAATATACCTATGGAGACCTTTTTCCACTGCTCAAAACAGTTTTTAAACTGGTGGGTTTTGATGCCTTTGATGGTTTCTGCTGTTTTTTGTTGCATCTCTTCCATGTAGGCAAAATGTTTCCCTTTAAGGACTTTTTTAATCCAGGGAAACAAAAAAAAAGTCACTTGGGGTGAGATCGGGTAAATAATGAGGGTAAGGCATAGCGGTCATGATGTTTTTGGTCAACAACTGCGGAACACTCAGTGCGGTGTGGGCAGGTGCACTGATAAATCAGCCATCGTAAAGTGGGCCAATGTGTTGAAAGAGTCTCCAAAAACATTCACTGAAGTTCAACACAGCCTCTCACAACAGTGCCAGCTGGTACACTCATAGAGATGGGTTCCTAGAACACTCACCTGGTGGGGGAAGCCTGTACTACAAGGGGCCCACCCGCCAGAAGACAATTCTGGGTTTTTTTGTCTCCTCTTATATGTCAAACAATGCAAGTGGCACATTTTATTACAGCATTTCTTAACTGCAGTATTTCTTCCTGTTATTGATTTAAAACTCTCTTTGTGCACAGTACTTTCATTAAGAGTTAATTTTACTTAATGCTATCTGAAGTTCACCTTATTGCAATCTCTTGGCATGGCTACACAGCCACGAGCCTTCATTCTGCAGCATGTCTGACTATATGTGAGTAACATAACAGAGAGGGGAAGAACTAGATGGTTGAGTTTGAAAACTCACTCTAACTTTTTCTTGCTCTGCAACCTTGAGCCAGTTACTTAACCATTCTGTGCCTCAGTTTCCTCATCTGCAACGTAAGAGTTAAGTGAGTTAACATACGTAAAGCACTAGAACAGTGTCAGTCACACAGTAAATACCACATGTGATCAGTTTTACTCACTACAAGAAAGGGCAGGCTTAATTCTCCAGGCCTGGCTGGTTTAGTGCAAGTTTCCGAATTTGGGGGATTTGACTACTGCTTTTAGCCATGAATTTTGTGTGTTTAGTGGAGAATTTCCAGATTCTTCGAGTAACTGAGCCTTCATTATCACAACATATTTTATTCAAGAAATTAGCTTTTCTTTGAAAACAAAGTATTTCTAGGTTTATGTATGATTAGAAAAGGGACTGAAAGGATAGATACCAAAATGGTGTAGGATTTTGGATAATGTTCTTCCTTTTGTTCAATTTGCATATGTTTAATGTTTTTCTTTTTCCTCAGTGTGCATGCTTAGAAATTTTTGATGAGTGTGTCCTATTTTTACAAAGAGGAAAACAGTTTTTTAAGAAATAGTGCTTCTCCGAGGATGGGTTTGACAGAATAATCTCCCTTTGTATCTACAAAGGAAAGTCAGCTTTTTACCTACAGGCAGTGAGTATAACCTCAAAAATGCCCACGTCTCTTCTCTGGTAATAGAATCCACAGTGGACAGAATGTCCTCTCCTTCCCTCTCCTGCCATGAGCTTCCCTTGGTGTCTTAGTCCAGGTGCTCCTCGTAGCAGAATCTAGGGCAAGGAGTAAAGGTGCTAAGAGTTTATTTGAAAGAAGCAAGCCCAGGAAATTGAGGGTAAAGGGAAGGGAGCGAGGTGGGAGGGAGAGGTGAGCTGGGGAGAATATGAAGCTAGACAACATAAAACAATGTGATCCTAACCCTAAGTTACTATGCCGCTCATATCTCAGAAGCCGCAAAGAAAATTGCAAGGAAGACCTGCCCCTGGTGTAGTCTGAAGAAGGAGAAAGGAGGGAGAAGTTATCTGCCGGGCTGCTTCCTGTCTGTCGTTCCCCACTGACCTGACCAATGGTCACGCCACAAAGAGCTCACTCCCCTACACCTGCATGTGTTACTAATCTTTGCAAATACCTTTGCTTTTAAGGGCTTGTTATTTTTATTTTATACATTTCTATTGATATAAAGTTCACCATTTTAAAATAATACAGCTGAGCATTTTTGGCATATTTATAATATGATGCAACCATCGCCTAGTCCAGAACATTTCCATTGCTTCCAAAAGAAATCTTGCACCCATTAGCAGCCATGTTCATCTTCTCCTCACTCTTTGGAAACCACGAACCTACTTTCTATTACCATGGATTTGCCTATTGGGAACATTTCATGTAAATGGAATCACATATGCTCTTTTGTGTCTGGCTTCTTTCATCCATGTTATAGAATGAACCAGTGCATCATCCCTTCTTATGGCTGCATTATATTTCATTGTATGGATATACATTTACTTATCCATTCATCAATTGATAGACATTGGGTGGCTTCTGCTTTTGCGTTATTGGGAATTAAACTGTTATTAACATTCATGTCAATGTTTTTGTGTAGATATACAGTTTTAATTTTCTGGGCTACATACCTGAGAGTGGAATTACTGGGTCTTATGGCAACTCCATGTTTAATTTTTTGAAGAACTGCCAGTCTTCCACTGCAGCTGCACCATTTCATATTCCCATCAGCAAAATATCAGTGTTCCAATTTCCTCATCTTCACCAACACTTATTTTCATTAAATTTTTTTACACCCATCTTAGTGAGTGTGAAGTGGTATGTCACTGTGGTTTTAATTTTTATTTCACAAGTGACTAATGATGCACGTTTTCATGTGCTTAGTGGTCGCTTGTATATTTTCTTCAGAGTAATGTCTATTCAAATCTTTTGCCCACTTTTAATTGGGCCATTGTCTTTCATGGTTGAGTTGTAAGAGTTCTTCCTATGCTGGAAGAATGGGGCCCTGGCCCCTTTCCAGATACATAGTTTTCAGATCTTCACTCCCACTCTCCTTGCTGACTTTTCATTTTCTTGATGGTATCCTTTGACACTCAAAAATGTTT